TTTTGTTTGTTTTAGTTTATTGTCCAGCTTTGCTACCAGACTCGCTGTGGTTTCATGAATGTCATGCTTTCTCTTTGCTTATTATACTCTGGGATGATTATGTCCAGGAACAAGTTGCCTCAGATAAGATGGAAAGAACTCACCTGTTTGAGCGGCTGGATCCAGTGCCACTTTTATGGATCATATCTCACCAGCTCATTAAAATCTTCCTCCCTGGTTATTGATATTTTTAGGTTTTCCTCAAAGCTGTTGTGATCATTTTTACACTCCCAGAATATTATCCATTTCCTTAAAATGTTGACTTTGTTAGCACAGACTTTAGTACTTTGATTAAACCATGTGAGTGTGGGTGTGAAATACAATTTAGATATTTGTTTCTCATTATTTTTCTCCTTCTGATACTTGGCAAAGTATCTCTTCTATCGGCCTGCACGAAAGAAAACTGCCCTGAAGCTTGTCGTTAACCTGATCGCCTCCCAAGGTGCTCGTGTCCTCAAGCATTTGCAGAGTACTCACTGTTCTGGGCATTTCATACTGATGTCAAAAAAAAAACCTCGGACTTGTGGCCCCGTTGTCTCCTGGGGAGCCTGCCTCCTGATGCCACCTGGTGCTGCCAGCACTATTCCCTTCTTGCTTTATTTGGCTCGTTCTGTTATATTTCTGGCTTCTGTAGTTGATGCTTTATCTTCGTATTTATGAACAAAGGCTTTTGAAGCTGTGATTATGCCTCTGATGATAATCTCGACACACTTGTTATGAAACGCTCCCATGTTACATTTTTCAGATGCATTACTGCTTTTCTAGCTCTAATTTTATTCTTTAGAAGTGTATGCAAGAAAAATATTGGATAGTCATTACTTTCATTGCTCTTTTCAATTTATAATCATACATACCATGTCCCATGGGGGACAGGATCTTATATCCGTCTGATTATGCGTGTCTGTTCTACTTACCTGTGCTCTCTTCTCTGCCAATTGCCATCATTCATTCATTCATCCCACAAATATCTGATCCCTGTGATGTGGTGGGCAATACAACTGTGCTTTTGCTGCTATTTTTTATATACAGTGAATTCAGTTTACCAGCTCCCAGGACTGTGTTCATCTGTCTCATCTGGATTTGGAGTGAAAGGGCAAAGCTTTCCCTCTGTCCTCTTGGGAACAATCTTTCTAACATTCATGGTTTCCTCCTTATCGGCTGAACTCCCTTTGTGGCTCCCAAGGGGGAGCCCAGTCCTTAGGTCCAGGTGGGTGTGAGTAGGGGTCTGGAGATCACTCTGAGAGCAGCTGGAGATCATGCACAGTGGAGTGCAGTCCTCGAGGCCAGGGATCCCGGGGACATGCAGAACCGAGCATTTCCTTTGAAGGCCCCAAATGGGGATGGGCCCTCTGGAAGGGGTGTGAGGCTGGAGACCTCAGGGGGGCAGGCAGTCTGGGGCAGGGGCCCCTGGGTAGACCCTCTGCAGTACTCGGAGCCACAAGCTGGCTTTAGCCACTTGGAATGAAAATAGATTTACACTTGCCTCAGGGAAAAACACAGCTCCACAGGGCTCACCTCCTAAACAGAAATTCTTATTTTTCAGTTCTGTCCACATAGGTGGTGATGTGTGGGAGATGAGATGTGCACAGAAAATCCCCAGAAGGTGTCCCTCCTCCTTCCTCCTGCACAGACCCCAGATTGTTTTCTTGCAATTTGCCTCCTTCTCTTAAAAGCTGGCTGTGAGAAAGTTTCCCCTCTGCTCCACCCTGTATGGAACTATGTGGCTGTGGTTGGTCCTGGCGTTCCCAGTTGCCGTCATGCGGACGTCATGCGTTCTGACCTGGTGATGTTTTCCCAGGGTTGCCTCTCACTGAAGGTCCAGCTCTCGCTGGACTCTGCTCTGCTTTGCAACGGCCTTAATGGAGGCAATTTGCAAGGAACCAAATTAAGCTTTCTTAAATGACTGAAAACGTAAGATACATAAAATCTAAACCAGCTTTAAGCAAAGTAATATAAATCGAAATGTGGATATTCTTCTCTGTCTCACTCTCTCATTTTTTTTAGTGAATGTAGAAAAAATGTCTTAATTCCTACTGATCTCAATTTCCAGCTTGTGCATTTTCTCCTGGGACAGTCTGGGGGTGAAAACATTGAGTTCCCTCCCGTGGGTGCAGGTCCCCAGCTCCCAAGGCACTGTGCTCAGTGTTGTCAGTAGATGTGTGGAGCAGAATAAATTAAACTAACCAGTAATACCAAATGTGTTCAGCAAGAAATAAAAATCTATAAGAAATTGAAGGTAAAAAAAATCCCCAGTACTCAAAAATACTAAATATGGTGTAACAGTGTTGCTTTAACACCCACGGCTGGGATTCTAAGAAAGTAAAGAATCTCAATAAAAGAGCTGAGAACCAGGTTCCAGACAGCAGAGGCAGCCAGATTATGGCTGGATCGTCGTGAAGAGATGGGGTGAGCAGCCCGCCGGCATGGGTGGCAGCGAGGGCTGGACATGAGGGCTGCACCAGAAGCCTGACCCTGGAGGGGACAGGGGATGTCCTCTCATCCACCCTCGCTTTCCCAGAGGAAAATCTACAAATGTGTCACCTCAGGTGTTCCCTCCTGCAAGTGGGGTTTCGCACTTATGTCTCTGCGTGGCGCGGCATCCCTGAGTGGGGACAGCCACAGGGAGCGTCCTGAGCTGGAAGCAGCAGGGAAGCTGGCAGGAGCGAGCACAGGCGTCCCAGGAAGGAAGCGTCCTTGCCAAGACCTTACAGACTCCTGTAGCTCAACTCCAAGGACAGGCTTGTATCCAAATGCACAAACCACACAAAGGAAAAGCCACTCTGAGTGAAAGTCAGCAGATGACAGGTCACATCCTCAAAACTTCAGATAACGGAGGCAGGTATAGGATGCAAATAAGTGCATTTGAAATATTAAAAAAAAAAAGTAGAAATTAAAAATGTAAACCCGAAACAAGATGCTCTAACCAAAACTTATCTGGGGAAAAATAGGCCTAAAAATGAAAGTCAGGGAGATTCATTACACAGGGAAGTCCGACGTGGGTATGGCAGGTTACGGGGTTCTCAGTGGGTAGAGTGAGCGTTGAACACGCAGCACCGACGCCACAGGGGGCTGACAGTGGGAGACTGCACGGCTCTGGTGGGCAGGCAGTCACTCTGACAGCAGTCCTGAGAGGAGAGGACGCAGGGGTCACAGCCCGAGGGAGGCTCCGGTCCCCAGTTTGGAGAGCCTGACTGTCCCGCTTAACTAGAGGAACCCAGGGCCAGACCATGTGGTGAGGCCCCTAATGCCGGAGACCGGGGACCATGGCCTGGGCTCACACAGAGCAGGAGGGAAGGCAGAGAAGGGGACTGTCCACTCAGAAACCCAATGGAAACAGACATTCCAGAAAGACCGACAAGATCCACAGTCCCTCATTAAACCTGTCCAGGGAACGTGCCGCCGGCAGAAAAAATTAAACCAGAAAAAGAACTGTGACTGGAGAAAGGCTGAAGGTGGACACAAATAAACACACGAGGGAGCACAACGGGACTGATGGACGCGGTGGTACAATCAGGCAGAGGGACGAGACACACAGTGAGGCCAGAGCTTGACAACAAATAACGTGGCTGCGCAGTGATACGAGTCATGAGCGTCCACGCGCAGGAACCCTGGAACCACTCGGCTGCCCATCAGGTGCCCTGTGAGGGTGTCTAGGGTCTCCTGGGGCTGGCTCGGCTGTCCTCGGCTGGCGACTGCTGGCGACATCTATATAACCATAGATGCTGTGATTATTACACGTATGGGATCTATTCCATGTAAGCACGTATTAGGTGTTGTGTGATATGTGCACGTTACATATAGATTGTTTGCTATCCTTTTGATAGTTTTGAAATACTGCATTTTCCAGTTATTTAACATGAGCTCTGATCACAAGACGAAATGCTGAAACGCCGCTCAGGATGCTCCGGTCCTATTTGTAATCCCTCACTCGGAGCAGAGCACAGAAAATGGACAGACTCAAAATCAGAGTTTTCAAGGACATTTTCAGAATGCCAGATGCCAACTCCTCTCCTCTTGAGCTAAAAAGAATGACAGCGCAGGTGCGGCCTCTTTAACGTCTAAAATGGGGATCCCGGTGTGCCTCGCGGGGCTCACAAGGAAAACATTCTAAAATCAGATTAGTACATGAGCTTGCCCGTTGGAGCTTCTTGCTCACCTTGATGCCGGAACTACTTGAGAGGTAGCCAATTAACTTCATTTTCTCATTAAATATTAACTCATTTTTTCCCCACATTTTGTAGTTTGCTTCTGAAATATGTCATCACCACAGTAAGCCTGCAATACTGAGGATAATAGGTGAAGGAGCCCTCTCCTCGAAAGGGCATGACCTTGATGGAAAAGAACAACTCTGGGGTGGACGGTGGGTATGGATCCGCCCACAGGGACCCGCTGACCCGCTGCGGCTGCTGCACCCCACAAGGCCACAGGAGCAAGGGCTCATCAGGCCGCTCCTCCTACCACAGCCTGGACCCACATTTGCTCAGTGACCCTGGAGTGGGGGGTCAGCCTGGTGCCTCCCCGTGGGCACCACCCACTCTCTAGGGTTTGCACTAAGCTGGTGTGAACAGGCTGAGAGGAATGCGGCGTGTGCAGCATGTCTCCTGGGTGGCTGCTCCTCTCAGGCCCTAGGAGGCTGGGACACACTCGCTTGCACTACCAGTGGTCTTGTTTCCTGGGGCTCCATCATGGGAAGCCCCCCGAGGCACCCCGGTTTCCACAGCAGGATCCTGATCAGACAGCAGACTTGGGGATCCCACGGGTCATCCCTCTCCCTGCTGTAGACAAAGTCATTCACAACGAATTCTAAGGAGAAAGGTGGGCATTTAATGAGACGAGGGCTCAGGACAGAGGTGGGCCGACGCTGGCTGTGTGCCTGGGTGAGGGAGGCACTTGGGCGGGCTGGGAGCTGGGTGTGATAGCGGCAGCCGCCGAAGCTCACAGCTGTTTTGTTTCCTTTCTAGATCACCTTCTACATCCTGGTGAAGGCCATTTACACTCTAGGCTACAGTGCCTCCCTGGTCTCCCTTACAACGGGAAGCGTAATTCTTTGCGTCTTCAGGTAAGTGTCAGGAATGAGTGATTCTGGTGTCTGAGACCGGATACTGCCTTTGAGCCTCATGGGCCAGTCAACCTCCATCTCCGTGTGAGGCCAGCAGACCTCCCTTGGGGCAGCCAGTGTGAAATATGATGCTGATGTTCATATTTTTATTTAAAGACTCTGCATTTCTTATATAAAGAGATAATACCAGGCAGCCCAGGTGGCTCAGCGGTTTAGTGCCGCCCAGGGCATGATCCTGGAGTCGAGTCCCACATCCGGCTCCCTGCATAGAGCCTGCTTCTCCCTCTGCCTGTGTCTCTGCCTCTATCTCCCTTTCTCTGTGTATCTCATGAATAAATAAATAAAATATTTAAAAAGTAAATAAATAAATAGATAGATGATAGATAGATAGATAGATAGATAGATAGATAGATAGATAGATAAAGAGATAATACCGACTTTGGGTAAGCCTTCAACTTGACCGTTATTTACTAAACCCTTAAGCCCTTATGCAAATCCCTTGTACATACAGAGGCTCTTCCCTTCAGAAAGCCTACGTTCTGGGCCTCAGCTCGAATGGTGTTGAGAGACACTATAAAGTGTTGAAGACTCCGAAGGCAGGAGTCAGACGGCGGGGGTTCCTGTACCCGAGTCATGGTGGGATCTGGACAGTCACTTCCGTTCATGGTCCGCACAATGTGGCTGTAAGGATGATCCATGGCATGTCGCATGCGCTCTGGATTTTGCCAGTTTTCCTCCTGATCTGAGGTTCAAGTTCCCACCCACCTGAACCGGAGGGCTATGTTTTTGGTGACTGATGACATGCACCGTGCACAGCTGGTTGGGCAGAGGCAGAGGGAGAGGCTCCAGTTTCAAAAAAGAAGCTTCTGTCTGGGAAGAGCCAGTCAGTACAATCAGGACTAAATCTCCAGCACTCAGTAAACTGGATGGTGTTCCTCTTACTTTAACAGGGATTAGATCTCCATGGATCTTATTTCTCTTGACACAAATATATTTCAAATGGTGGCCAGTAATCAGGTAAAATCAACGATGTAACAAAAGGAAATGTTTTAGAAACTAACAGATAACCTGTCAGGAGATCCATACTGGGACATAAGCAAGTAAAGACTGAAGGGGCTGAAAACCCACCGAGTGTTTCCAGGCAGCTCTGCTCCATCAGGAGGGAAACCTCAGGAAGAGAGGGGCAGTCCCCGTAACACAGAACTGCTCTTTGAGGGACATGGGGATGTGGGGACAGTCCATCAGGTTCTAGGTCTCAAAAGAACAGAAACTCTAGTGCAACAGTGATACCTATTCTAGTATCTTCTGTATTTTTCTGTGTATTTTGAAATCTTCAAACTGTTGAGGATAAAAAAAATTTAGGGAGGTAAGCTGGAACGTGGTATCTTTTTTTTTTTAAGATTTTATTTATTCATGAGAGACACACACAGAGAGAGGCAGAGACATAGGCAGAGGGAGAAGTAGGCTCTCTTCAGGGAACCTGATGTGAGACTCGATCCCAGGACCCCGGGGTCATGACTTGAGCAAAGGGCAGATGCTCACCCGCTGAGCCACCCAGGGGCCCCAAGACACAGGGTATCTTCAACTAGAAAACATTCAACTTATTATTACAGTTCTCCCATACGAACCATCCATATTCTTGGCATCGGCAGTTTTTCCCAGAATTGGATGCACAGAGTATTTAATGAGCAAGGCCAATGGCATTTTGGAACCATGGCCAATGTGGGTTTTGGTTTGTAAGAGCAGCTCGAGTGATTTCATGAGTACCAACCCATCTTCCATACATGGACATCGTTCGTCACCTACCGGTGGCACTTGGCTACGAAATGACACGTCTGCTTGGGTGTCATTCTGCTGTGTTCCATGTGTAATGGTCACTGAAAAGAAGTGAAAAAAGGGCACAGGGCTGGTGTGAAGGCCTTGGGTCTGCCTGCATCATGGCTACGGAGGCACCTGCCTTCCCGCCTCCATGTGTCAGCTGTGCTGCTGTGTCCAAGACCAAGCCCCATCCGTGATCCGGGGTACTCCACCCAGGAAGCAATCCTTTCCAGTCACGGACACTTAATGCCCATAAGGCCCCGTGGCTGAGAGAGCAGTCGGTGACCACGTTCTTACTTCACACAGACACAGAGCAGCTTGTCCCTTAGGCCAGGTCCAGACCCCAGCGTGGACGTGAGTAACAACCACACGGCCTAGTTTTGTGTGGGACGCGCAGAGCTCAGGTTCACGTACTCCCCCCCCCACCGCCCCCCAGCCTGTGGGAGCTGGGTTCTAGTCTAGCCTCCATGGAGGAGCACGTTCTGCATGGTTCCTCTGAACAGCCGCCCATCATCCGGCGTACTTGGAAGGGAGGCTTCATGATGAGCAACGAGGGATGTGGGCACGGCTGAGAAACAGTAAACACTCCTGCTCTGATGGCTTGCTCCCTGAAAGGAGTAGTGCCCAGGTCCGGGGGACGGTGACAGACCCCAACCCCACTCGGAGCAAGACATGGGCAGGAGACTGAGGACAAAGCCGGGAGGAGAGAAGAGGTGGCTGGAGGCGTGGGTGGGTGCAGCCACCCCACCCGACCCCCCATCCCCCCCCCCCCGCCACCACCACCCCCAGCGAACTGCAGCCTGCGCCTGGGGCATGGGGCGGGCTGTCGCGCAGCTCTCATGGTTCCTCGTTATTCCCATTTCCCCCTTTCATGTGGTCACTCCTGCATTCTGTTCTGCTCATAGGTGTCAGCCCAAAATTGTGGCACGTCCTTGTATTGTAGGCTTAACCTCCGATGGCCCCTTTACCCCCTCCCGGTCCCCCTCATGCTCCCGATGTTGCTGTTTTGTATTTTAGTCCTACACCTCTTTTAAGGCCACCAGGAGTGATAGCTGTCATTTGCGGCAGAGGGTACCCGGAGGTGCCATGTGCTGACGTTCCCGAGCCTTCCCCATCCCCGGGTCTCCGTCGGGGCCCTCCTGCTGCCTGAAGAGCCCCTGCAGGATCTCCCCCAGCCCGGGCCTGCTGGCAGTGAAGTCTTGTGGTTTTCAGTCGCCTGAAATCCTCTTAATTTCTCCTCATTTGAGGATGTTTTGAAAAATATGGAAGTCTCTGTTGGCAGTTTCATGTTTCATCCCACTAAAAATGAAGGGCATTTTTCTCTTTGGGAGTCAGCAGCCCGTGTCACCACCGTTTCATTGAAGGACAGGGGCTTTTTTCCCCCCACAAGCTTGGAAGCTAGAATCCGTTTGGTTTTCAGCAGTGATGCTATTGGGCACTTAGCGTGGTTTCCTTTCCGTTTGTCCTTCTTGGGGGGTTGGTGCTCCTTCAGTCTCTGATTAGAGTCTATTTGCTTCTAGACATTTTCAACTCAGTCTCTAAGGACCCGATTGTCCCTCCTGCATCTTTGCTCTCTCATGCTGTGCTCGCCGCTAAGCATCACTCCATCCCCATGTATTTCCTGCTCTTTTCTATATGTTCCGTGAGTCGGCTTCTCTACCCTCATCTATGCTCAGCCTACCCATGTATTTTCTGTTTTGTGATACCCTTTTTTACCGGATCTAATGTCAGAGGTGGCCACTTCGATGGCTAATTTTAGGGTTCTTTTTGAGTTTTCAACTTTCCATTCGATTTTTGTAGTCAATTCCATTCTTCAGTAAAATTCTCTGCCTCTTCACCAATTTTTTGAATATATTAATCTGAATAAGAGTCGGTGTCTTAAAATGTCAATATCTGAATCTCTTTCTATTCCCTGGGTTTTTATTTTTATTGCATTTGATCATTTACTCCTGTTCCTGGCAAACCTGGTACTTTATTATTGAAATCACAAATAATTTAACTGTAGAGGCTTTGGGCAATGTCTGAAATCCCGGTCCCAGACTCCCACCCAAGGACGTAGGAACACGGCGGTGGGGGGGTGGTCACCTGCAAACTAGTCACTGTCCAAACCGCAAACCCCTATGTGCGGTGGGGATAGTAGGTTCCCTAAACACAGGAGAAGGGCTGGAGCCAATTACTGCAGTGTTCACAAACCTGAGTCTACTTATCTCGCCCCCCCTCCCCCCGCACCCCACCCCGCATTCCCATCCCCACCCCTCATCCCTTCCTCTCTCCACCACAGGAAGCTGCATTGCACCCGGAACTATATCCACCTGAACCTGTTCCTCTCCTTCATCCTCCGATCCATCTCAGTGTTGGTCAAGGACGACGTTCTGTACTCCAGCTCGGGCACACTGCACTGCCCTGACCAGCCATCCTCCTGGGTAAGGCTGTCCCTGTGAGCAGGTCTTCTCTCTGAGGGCAGGGTGGCATGTGTGACCTGCAGCCCCACGACCCCCGTCATTACTGCCCTGGCCCTCAGTCTGTGTGCCCACCTCACACCCTGCCCAGCGCACAGTGTTAAAGGCAAGGAGCCAGGCCGGAGAAGCAGAGGGGTCAGAGGCTGGGACTCAGGTGAGATGGGGTTGGGGACACCGGTGCCTCCAGGGACTGGAGGTCGTGGGCCGTGAGCATTGAGTCCCAGGGAGGGCCAGCACAACCTGAGGGCATTGCCCTGAGTGATCAGTGCCTGGTCTGGGCTGAAACATCCTGACATTGATGGAGATGCACAATGCCGTTGTTTTCACCCCAGATCTCCCAGCTTATGAGCAATAGATGCTTCCAGAGATGGCTGGGTGTGAATCACCTGTGCCATCAGTGAGCCCCTGCAGCCCAGCTCTACGATGGGAGGAAAACCCAGCTGACCCAGCTGATTATTTCTGTAGATGTTTGTCACTGGCTGTGTCTTTAGCATTCATGGGCCTCCAATGCTTAGTCCACGTAGGACAGCACTTGTCGCGCCTGTCCGATAGGCAGGTCACTCAATTGAGTCCTCCTGAGCCTCAGCAAACAGCTGCAGTGTCCTCAGGACCTTCGGCAAGCGTTTGGGCTCCAGTCATTTGGGCTCTTGATCAGACCGCAACCTTTGAGGTGCTCCGCTTTTCATAAGGAGCCAGGACGCTGGTCAGTAAGTTCAAGGGCCTGCTTCTCAAGACATTTGGAGGAGCCAAGAACTCGACAGAGTCTGTCCCCTTTTGAGAGAAGGCTTCTTGCCACCTCCCACCGACCCCCACTTCCCACTGATCGGGAAGTGAGCTCTGGGCTCAGTGTGTCTCCTCCTGGCGATCCAGGGACCAGGACACGGGCAGTGACCTGCTGGGACCAGCACACATGGTATGCAGGGTCACTGGGGGTTCTCAGAACCTGCCTGCAAGCTTCCCAAGGCACCCCTGAGAGCCTGAGTCCGGGAAATACACAGTGGCCACTGTGAGCTCTGCAGTCGGAGCTGGAGGGTCTAAACAGCCAAGCTCTGACCTGACTACAGCCGGCTGCCCCAGGGGCTGGGGGGACGAGAGGCAGAGACTGAGGCTGGAGGCTGAGCTTCTATATATCCTGGAGGGTCCTGGACGCACTGCCCTGTGGTGTCAGTCAGAGCGGCAGATGGTTGGGAAGAGGCAGAGTGAGAGTGAGCCCATCAGCACGTGTGCACATGTAATCACTGGGGTCCACATGTGCATGTGTGCAGACATGTGCCCACACAGCCACAAGGATGTATGCATGCACAGAGGCCCTCGTGGACACGTGGGAACATAGCCCGCCTGGCTTCAATCGTCCGTGTCTGGATCCAGGCCCGGGAGGACTGCTGACCTGGGGCTTGCATGGTGTGGTGGGGGCCCCATGCTCTCCAGGGCTCAGCTGTGGACTCAGGTCACACATGAGGCCGTGCCCAAGTCTGTGTGGAGAAGGCGCGGGTGCCAGGCCTGCACGTGCACAAGGGCCCCTTAGCCCCGCAGACACCAAGTGTGTTGCAGGGACCAGGGAAACCCCTGATGCTGAGGGCCTGGGCGTCTTACCGGTTCCCACAGAGGATAGCCCAGAGGTGGGGGCAGAGCCCCTCCTGTTCCTTTCAGGGAGCGGGTCCCAGAGCCACAGTCTCGTGCCAGGTCATAAAGCAGACGGGGCAGCAGACCTCCAGCTCCCTGGCTCTGCCAGCTGTCTACACACTGGCATCCTTGTCCTCTGCACAGCTTCTTTCTGACTCCTGGAAAAGCATGTTCTGGTCCAGAAAAATGAGAGGCCAGGTGGCTGCCTGGAGGCCACTGTCAGCAGGGCACCAGCCAAGGCGGGGCTGGTGACCTGACTGCAGCTGCATCGGGGTGGGAAGTTCCCAGACCGTGGAGGTAGCGGCCCTGGGGACAGTCCCGCAGGCTGTGGCCCCGATGGGGAGGTTGGCAGAGGGCCTACCTTGGCCCAGATATCCTGTGCTCACATCCCAGAGGCTGTGAGTGGCTGTGGACATGCACATGGTTGGTGTCTCCATGGCTGTACCAAGAAGATGCAGTCACCGTAACCAGGCGTTCTGTGTGCCATGCATCCTCACTAAGCCAGGGTGCAAGCCCCGAGCCAGCTGTTGTGTCGGGATGAAGGGTGGCAGTCGTCTGGCGCGTGGACATGACACAGCTTACTGTGTCCTGGCACAGTCCTGGCAGCACTGGGCCCCACCAACATCCTGCACATGGACCCTCTGCCTGTTCTTGTTTCTGTTGGGTGGAGCTCACACATGATGACATTGGATCGAAGGGCGTGTATATGTTAGAACCGCAGTGAACCTTGCTGTGTGGTTTTCAGAGGAGTCAGGGCAGTCGACGCCACGCCGGCCTCAGAGGCAGGGACTACAGCCCCTCAGAGTGTCCCCATCAGGTGGCACAGAGCCCTCCCTCCCCAACAATGAGCAGCCAATGGGTCACAGCCACACTGCGGGCCGTTCCCATAATTGAGTGGTGCCCAGGCCCTGACGCTTGCTGGAGTGGCTCCTGCCCCACCGCTGGCCCGCGGGCACCTGGCACTTGGCCTCAGTCACAGTGACGGTGCAGCACCCGAAGGATGAGCTTAGCCTTGCCCACCTGGGAAGCAGGAACCTGGCACCTGGTGGGGCAGCGGTGGTGGTGGGGTGGTGGCAAGTGGGTGGTGGGCTCGGGCTGCTGTGAGTTCCCTTAAGCACGAGCACAGCCACAGGGCACATTCAGCTGTGTGTCATCAAACCCACAACAGAGAAGTGTGCCCACCTAGTATGTGGATAGAGATAGGCACGCGTGTCTGCATTTCCAAGCCTGTACGGACATACCCACGCGTAAATGTGAAAACGTGCCCCCGGGTACCAAGGTGCCTCTATCCACTCGCACGTGGGTCTCCTTCAAGGGAGGGCGGCAAAGCTGTGGGGGAGGAGAAGCGAGGATCTTTTCAACACGTGGACACAACTTACGGGTTAGAAGCCTCAATTTCACTTTTGTTCCAGAGGCTGACGTACCTGGTAGGTCTGAAGAAGGTCTGAGAAGGTTAGATATGTGTGTGTCATGTGCCAGGTGGGCTCTCCTGTGGGGACTCTCCTGGGACGCCTGGCCACTCACGGGCTGCCAGCTGCTCCTGTCCTACACTGATCTTTGTCTCCTGGGGGGCGGGGGCAGGACCCACGAGGGACGTGGGGATGAACGGGGCGGAGCGCCCGGTGGTGGGCTTCCTGCCACATCCCGCCACATCCTGCCAAGGGCGGCTGGTGCGTCTGCCCGGGGCCACGTCAGTGTCCCCGGGGCTCTGAGCTGTCATGCTTCCTCAGCTCCATGCTCAGCATGCAGGCACGCGTGGCGGTTCTACCCGAGTGGCCGTGTGTGCTCTGTGACCTGCAGGTGGGCTGCAAGCTGAGCCTGGTGTTTTTCCAGTACTGCATCGTGGCGAACTTCCACTGGCTGCTGGTGGAGGGGCTGCACCTGCGCACCCTCCTCGTGGCCATCTACTCCCCCGGCCGTTGCCTTGTGGCCTACCTCCTGATCGGATGGGGTAAGAACCGGTCCACAGCTGTGCCCGCCGCCCCATCCACCTCCCCACCGCCCCTCACCCCGTAAGTGCCAACCCCTCAGCTCACAGACGCCCTGGGCCACCCCTGCAGGATGGCCTCCGGGTCGTGAGAGGAGGTGCTTTCCCAGGACCCTAGCTTCCTGTGGGAGACGCCCCCCTACTGTAGGAGCAGGAGTCTGTGCCCCACGCCTCCAGTCCTGGGGCCGCCCTGTGTTGAGAAGGCTGAGGGGCAGGAGGGGAGTAAGGGAGGGCAGGAGGGGCGGGAGGGGAGGGCCCAGGGGCAGGAGAGGCAGGAGGGGAGGGCAGGGGGTTAGGGGCGAGGGGCAGAAGGGGAGGGCAGGCGGCCTTCCATGGAGAGGTCCTAGTACCTGCCCCTTGGCAGAACCCTGAAGGGCAGGGTGGGGGTGTAAGCAGAGGGCCCCCATCTGCGGTGTAGGACACCCCACCGTCCTTGCCCTGCCCCCACACTCCAGGAACAACGCATACAGTGTGCGGAGATGTGTGCAGTGCAGGCCTGTGAAGTTCCAGCTTTCCACACACAGTTGATCCTCACTGCCGTGTGAAGCTTGAGCATAAAGTCCCGCATGTTTATGAGGCGTGTCCGCCTAACCCTCCATCAGACAGCCCACCCCTGCTGCCCGGGGGAGGGGGTGCAGCTGCGTCCTGCCAGCAAGCACGGGGCTGGGGGTGACCCGCTGTCTCCCTGCAGGCATCCCCACCGTGTGCATTGGTGCGTGGACAGCCGCCAGGATTGCCCTGGAAGACACCGGGTGAGTGCCTGTGAGGTGAGGGCAAGCACCCAGCCCTGCAGCTGGTGTCAGCGAGTGAACGGGAGAGAAGCCTGCTCCATGCCCACAAGGAGGATGTGCACTGGCAGCTGCCACCAAGCACATGGTTACAGGGTGGCACGTGGACATCACTCCCACAAGAAGACCCCAGCCTCACGACAGTTGGGGGCGGGAATATTGGGAGAGGATCCACACGCGCAGGACAGAAACAGCACCACGTCCTGCAGCAGAGCTGGGATGGGGCTAAAGAGAGGGGCACAGCATCCCCAGTGGGGAGCTGGTCCCTGGAGGGAGCCAAGCAGGATGCACGTGCCCCGTGGGGAGAGGCGGCGGGAGCAATGCGGGAGAGCACAGCCGCTGAAGCAGTTCTCTAACCTGGCACAGACCGGGTGTGTTTTCTATCTGCAGTGAGCTGGGCCCCCGCCCCTCGGGCACATTTTCCCACCACGAATGCCCTGCCCCGTTCGGGCTCTCGCCCACCCCTGGCAACACCCTGGATGCGGTGACTTATGTAACTGAGGGTGACACAGGGTGTTTCTGTGCGCTGTGACCCTGTGGCACCCTCTGGCCTCAGCCCGCAAGCCCACTCGCCGTGGTACCTGCCAGGTTGGCCAAGGGCCAGCTGACCTCACCCAACTCCCTGCCACCCTGCGGCTTCCAAGCACACCGCATCCTGCTGCCACAAGCAGTAGGACCCAGAGGCCAGGGTTGGTCTGCGCCCATACAGGGGTTGGAGCGGGGAGGTGGAGTGAATGATGCGGACAGTGCGGCCCGGATGCTGGACCCCGGATGCTGGACGCCGTCGCTGGGCCTGCCTCGTGTCGTCCAAAGGCATTTTAAACCTTAGAGATACAGACACAAACTATCCTGGGGTGAAAAAAGAGTCATTTTCAGGAGATAAACTCCCATTTTTCGAAGGTGGCCAGAGCGAGCACAAGCCACTCCTCCTTGCAAGGTGTGGGGCTGCCGGGCAGGCCTTGCCCTTCCCCCACTTCCTGGAGCTCTGCTCATGCTCACTTGTCCCTCACTAGGTCCTGTCCCTGTCGGGAAGGATGAAGTAAAGCAGGGTCCCCGGCTGGGGAGGGATGGCATCTGGGTGTGTGAGTGCGCATGGGCCTCCGGGTGGCGTCTATTGACACACCCAGGGGGTGCGTGTGCACTGTGAGGAGCCAGCTGCGTTCAGAGGCTCTGCATCCAGATGAGGCCACAGGCAGTGCACATCCTTGCTGCCCCCAGCTGATGGACAGATCTGGGTGACGACGGGACATTCCTTCTCTCTTTCCCATAGCTGCTGGGACACCAACGATCACAGTGTTCCCTGGTGGGTCATACGAGCACCGATTCTGACATCCATCATAGTGAGTAATCCCAGATCGAGGCACAGCCCTCCACAGGGTTGCGCGCTTGGGGACAGAGGGAGCCTGCCTCCCTGCACTCAGTAGGGTTACCCCATTGTGCCGTCGTCTTCGTCTTCCTAGAGAAGAACCGCAGGCAGTGGCCCGCCCCTTTCATCCTTCATTCTCACCTCTGGGAGGAAGGCCGGGGAGCGAGAGGGAGGGGACAGAGGTGCGCTCCCTGCCGTAGACACCTGCAGGGGGCTTGCAGGCCCCAGATACAAAGTTACATTGAGTCATGTTATCACTCGTCCATCTCTCATCTGAAACTTCACTGACACCTACCTGTGTCTGCACCTGAGGTCATGGGACACGTGCCGTGGTCAGGAGACCCCGCCAGCTCCCACCCTGGGGCAGACCCAGGTGGGCAGGGCCCCGAGCTCCTGTTGCAGGGGTGCCTGGACCCTGTCCAAGGCGAGGAGACACAACTCAGGGATGCTGAGCTCCAGACCCCCCGCCGCACCTGCCCCTGCAGGGGAGGTCGCGCAAAAACACGCCGTCTGTTCGTGCAGGTCAATTTTGTCCTCTTCGTTAGTATCATACGGATCTTACTACAGAAGTTGACATCTCCAGATGTCAGCGGCAACGACCAGTCACAGTACAAGTGAGTATGTGTGCGGATCGGGGAGCTGCCCTCACTGGCCCCCGCGGCCTAGAAGTCCAGAGTAAGGGTGGATGAGGGTCTGCACACCCAGCAGACACCCAAACGCAGGACTGCTTTCACGGGAATGCGGCTGTATCTCCCTGTGGGGAATCCTTCGAGCCAAGCCCCCCTGCATTTCAGCGGCAGATCCTCTAGTGAGCTTAGTGACTGAAGCATTTGGCTCACTTCCCTGCTTTGTAATCTGACCTTTTCTCCTTGGCCACTCATTATTTGTATTTTATACATTATTCTTTCTCCCCCATCGGACCACATGGCATCTAACGCTGGGCTTCATACTTGATAATAATGGGCAGGTTTGGGCTGAACGAGTACATGAGGATAGTTATCATCATACCTGCCTGGTGGGAAAGAGAACATGCCCACCATCATCCAGCTACTTTATGGGCCCTGAAGACCCTATAAAAGAACTTAAAGATTCTGTGAATCTTGGCTGAGAATTTATAAAGAGACAGCGAAGCTCACAACTTTGTTATAAAGTAGAACCAGCTTAGCGTGGGGTGGTTGGTCCAGCCAATTGGAGCCGCAGGTTCAGAGAGACCAGGTGTGGAATCCGGGCTGCCTGGAGCTGGGTAACTTGGGCGGGTGACCTGACTGTGCCATGGTGGCCGCACTCGGATGTCCTTCCCCTACCTCCTGGGACAGCCAGGGTGGACCTGGCGCCATCTGTGCACAGGACTGGTGCTGGGTTCACGCAGCAGCAGGAGGCCTGGGGTGCGACCTGACCACTCCGCGCCTCACTGTCCTCATCCGTAATAACCAGATCCAAGGTTAGGAGGAGACGTTTGGCACCGGCACCTGTCGGTGTGGGGCCCAGACCCTCCTGCCGGTGCCCCCGGGAGCATAAAGCCCATGGTGTCCTTCCTCTGCCCGGTCTGTTCATGGGGTGCATGGAGGTCAGCCCTGCAGGAAGGAAGGCGTGTGGGTCTACCATGGACAGAGTGGTGTTGCCCCATCTGAGCAGCGCTCGTGCTGGCGCCCGGACCCGCTCATGCCTGCGGCCCAGGGGCAGCTGCTCAGGGGCTTGTCGAACTCAAGTTTTGATGTTTGGCTGGTGTCGCTTAGCTTCTGTGTAGACCTTTTCCTTGGGAGTGTTCGTTATGTAGATCTTCTACATACATGATTTTATTTTATTTTATTTTTGTTTTTATTTATGATAGTCACACACAGAGAGAGAGAGAGAGGCAGAGACACAGGCAGAGGGAGAAGCAGGCTCCATGCACCAGGAGCCCGACATGGGATTCGATCCCGGGTCTCCAGGATCGTGCCCTGGGCCAAAGGCAGGCACTAAACCGCTGCACCACCCAGGGATCCCCTACATGCTTTTATTTTAGAAACAAGATTAAGTAGGGAAGATAGGGTCTGTTCTTTTTCCAGGATGACAAAAATCCGGGCATGCCTGCGACGCTGCCTCTGGTGGCACCTTGGTGTCTTCTCTGTACCTGTAACAGTAACAACCCCAAGCAGGAAGCCTTCTCTGGAGGCAAGCAGGGTAGCCACCTCCAAGCGTATGTAGGAAGTCAGGCCAAGACCCCCGTCTCACCCTGAGCCAAAGGGCTCAGCCCCTGCACAGCCCACCCCCTGCCCACAGGCTAATGCTGAGCCCAGACGTGAAATGCAGCCACCTCATCAGGGTGAGCATTCAGCTCTGTTAGGGGGCAGCTCATGCTCTGCTGCAGAACGGCCAAGCCTCCAGGCTTTGTGCAGATGGCCTGAGGCAGACTTCCCAGTTTTTGTGAGCGTCACAGGTTGTGCTGTTTAGGTGGGGCAGAAATCAGGAGAAATGGACACATTTCTAGAACTTACATCCCAGGCTCTGAGTGCTAGGTTTGGGGCAGGTACCTCAAAAATACGTAAAGAAACTCATGACTATCAACTAACCAGAGAAGGTGGGGAGATAGCCCCCTCACTTGGTCCCTCAAGATGAGGCCACTGGGTCACTGGAGGCAACTGGATGCTCATTTGGGGGCTCAGCCTGCACCCACATCACCGAGTGGCCTGAACTGGCCTGGGGCCAACATCCTCATTCTTGACAACCCCCCAGGGGCCCCAGTGGTCCCGACGCAGAGCATGTTGCAGCGGTGGGGTCACCCAGGAGGATATTAGGCCCACCCAGCCACTCCTGCCATACTGGCCTGATAACGGGACTGTAGACACAGGCTGCCCAGGGGAGTCTTGCAGGCTCCCTGGATGATGCGTCTAATGCACAGCAGTTAGAGCTCAGAGCATTGGTTCCCAAAGTGGGGTTCAGAGCATTGGTTCCCAAAGTGGGGTTCCCAGACCGTGGCTGCAGCGTTATGGGAAACCCCACGGAGTCTGTGTGCACAAGGATGGGCGGCACAGGGGTCATCCACGGTGACCTCCACGGGTCCTGCTGCAGCAGAGGCTGGAGACGCCCTAAGGAGCTTGGCTTAGAGAAGGGAGACTGTCCAGTGGTGGGGTGGGGAGGGGCCACGGTACAGCAAGTGCCGCTGCAGGAGGGCATGGGCTCTGCGGTTCACCTTCAAGCCTCTGAGGCTGCAGCAGATCTGCGTTGTGACCAGGGTGGGTAGTGACTCCAGGTGACCCAGCTCCACAGAACCCACAGCCCAGAGGCTGGGTCACTGGCCCTGCCCACAGCCCGTGTTTGAGGGCTGCACCTCTGCTGCTCTGCAACTTTGACCTGAAAGTGAAACGTGCCTCTGTCCCAACAGTTAAAACCCAGGATGCTCCACTCAGGGCAGTAAGACCCCCAAGACTTTCAACCTCGGTGGCTGTTGGTTGGCCTCGTCGGGATGTCTTGCAAGGGGGTGGCTGCGTAGGTGACATATTCTGCGCATAGTTGGGGTGGGTTACTCAAACTTGTGAGAAACAGGCTCAGCCCGGGGTGGCCCTGGGCCAGTGTGCAGCCCCAACCCTATAGGCTTACCACTTTCCTTTGTGGCAGGAGGCTAACCAAGTCCACGCTGTTGCTTATCCCACTGTTCGGAGTTCACTACATGGTATTTGCTGTGTTTCCTATCGGCATCTCCTCCAAATACCAGATCCTGTTTGAATTGGGCATCGGATCTTTTCAGGTACGTGTGGACAGGGCTGTCCTTCTTGCCCCAGTGGGTGCGCGGCCCTGACCCTCGCCCCCTGTCTTGCAGGGCCTGGTGGTGGCCATCCTGTACTGCTTTCTCAACAGCGAAGTAAGTGCTCTGTCAGGGCTTGGGGACCCTTGGCCTATGGGGGATGCCCTCACGTGCCCCCATCCACCCACTGGGGGCTCGGGTCTCCTGCTGGGGCAGCCCCATGCCGTCCCTTCCGGCACCATCCACACGGAGCAGCGTGGGTGGCCCTCCCACAGGCCGGCCCCTGCAAGCTCCCCAGCTGGGTGGCTGAGCTGGTCACTGTCTTGACCCTGGACACCGGGCCACACAGACCCGAGGGGAGGGCGGACGAATGGATGGGACCCTTCTCCCCAGGCTCCCCGGGCTCCCTTCCACAGCTCATCAGGTCGCATGTGCGGGGGCCCCTCAGTCTTGTGACGCCTGCTTTTGTGCAGCTGTGCATGTGCGCTCACTGGGTCCAGGCCCTTCCTGAGCCTGCCCCCCTCACCACTTCCTGTGGGTGACCTAGAACCAATTCCCCACCTGACCCAGAGAGACCCCCAGTCCTGCTGCTGTGTTACCTCTCCTCCTGGAGCAAGCTGAGCAGCACCCTCTGTGCCCACAGATTCTCCAGAGGAGAGGAGATGGCCAGAGGCCTGTCAGCGCCCACCCAGCATGGGTGCTTCTCTCGGGGGGAGCTCGTGCTCCCAAGCTCCCATGTTCGCCTGACCCCGCTTCCTTGTGGCCTTGCCCTCACCCTAGGTGCAGAGTGAGCTGAAAAGGAAGTGGCGAGGCATGTGCCCCAGCCAGCCCTGCGGCCAGGACTCCCAGCTGCACAGCTCTTCCGTCTCCAGGAATGGCTCGGAAAGTGCCCTGCAGCACCCCCGGGGCTCCCGCGCCCTGTCCTTCCTGCACACAGAGACCTCGGTCATCTAGCATGCCACCGCCTCACAGATGGACTCCCCGGGGGCATGTTAGCTGTGACGTGCTAGCGCTGGTCTCTGTGTGTGCCTCGATGGAACCGGGGTCACGCTGTGGCGGCTGGCTTTGCCCAGGTTGATGGGCCCATTCCCACGGAGAACAGGGGGCTTGAGAGGAGCAACATGGGCCCAGAACCTGGATCCTGCCGCCATGGAAGGAAACGGGGTTTCTAGTCCTGCTGCCAGTGCTGGGCTGGGGCTGGGCCTTCTGTCTGTGTGACCCCAGTGCTGGTCCTCGCCCCCAGCCCCTGGGCAGGTGACTGGGGCAGCCCTGTCACCTGCAGGACACAACACTGAACAAGACCCACCCCTGTGGGTGTCCCCACGTGTCCCCTGGCCCCAGGGCGCCCTCCCCCTGCTTACTCCCAGGACAGACAAGGAGGGTGTCTGGCTGGCCGGCAGGGTATATGTCATAAGGGCCCCTCCCACAAGAGGGGTGACCCAGGGACAGGTTCTAGGGCCAGGTCATTGGGGTGACTGAGACACCAGGCAGTTTCTGGGGGGAGCAGAAACCTAGTCTCCTTGTGATGAAAATCATCTTAAAGTCATTTCTGTTTAAATGGAGAATCATCTTAACAAACTGCAAGTGTGTTGGGCACTTCTGTCCCACTTTGGCAGCATCCTCGATCCCGGCTCCCCTGAAGCCAGCAGACCTGGGGAGTGGGTCTGGGGGGGCTGAGCAGCCCCAGGGGAGCAGCGGGTGGTGAGGACAGTGAGCCCATCAATGGCCCGGGCCCGGCCCTGCAATGTGTGACAGTCGGGCCTTCTGCCCAGACACCATCCAGCCCCTCCACCCTGTGCATGGTGCTGGTGCTCCCAAGCCCAAGGCCTCCAAAGGCTGGCTGCCGAGGGGGTGACCGGGACACCAGCACAAGGGGGCAGGCAGGGGCCGCATGGAAGCCACCAGCTCAGGCCCTGCAGCCTTCCACAGGAAGGGTGGGACAGATGGAGTCCTGGCCGCAGGGCCGGCTGGGGCACATGCCTCGCCACTTCCTCTTCAGCTCTGTGGGATGGACGCTGGGACACATGGGGCCAGTGGAGCCACAGTGTGTGTTCCAGGGCCCCCACATCATGATCCGTGGGGCACTTGCAGCACCAGGCCCAGGATCGCAGGGACCCAGCCTGTGCTCCCCGTTGGCCGCGCCCCACCCCCCCATTGAGCGACCAGCCAGCTGAGGTCAGTCTGGCCTGGGATAGGAGCACGGTGGCCAGTGAGAGTCCATGTGTGTGCCCTTGGCCAGGTAATGTGCACAGAGGGTCCTCGGGCCACCGTGTCCTCCTATCAGGAAAGCTGCTTGCCCATCTGTTGGCTGGGGCACCTACCTGGCCTACAAATCTCCATGCCCTAAGGCTCCAGCTGTGGATACACTAACTCATGTTGCCTGAAGGCCATCACCTGTCACCTGCAGAGGAGCGAGCACCCTGCACACTTAAGGCCCGTTTGGGGGGGGGGGCACAGGGGGACAGCATGTGGTTCCTTCCAGGCCCCAGAAAGCAGCCACCTCCCCGCAGGGCACCCCGGCCGTCCGAGATGGGTGCCCTGCACACGGCCAACCATGGCCACGAGACCGGAGAACCTGCTTCCTGGTGCATGTGTGCATGTGTGTGCACGTGTGTAGTCCACCCTGCACCTGTGTGCCCTGGGCGGATAAAACCCATTCCCAGGGCCCTGGGCACTCCCCTGAACACTCCCCATGGGACAGATGCAGCAGGCCGACCCAGTCAGGTTCTCAGGAGGCCCAGGGCCCCGTGAGAGGGGTGCAGAGGGAGGGGAGGGAAGGGGCGACAGCCTCCGGGTGCTGGTGGTGGGGTCAGAAGGCAAGGGAAGGCCCAGGCAGGGGAGGTGACACAGCCCCACGTCTGAGACACAGCCCCACGTCTCAGGGAACAGTGTGCCTCCCCACTCTTGGCAGGAGAGGCAGTTGCTACATGGCTTGCTTTCAGGTTTTCAGATCCCAAGAATCATCAGGGGCGTTGTGGAAGCTCCGTGCTACAGGCCAGCGGTGCTATAGGCCAGCGTGGCCGTGAGCGATCTGAACACGGCTTCCACCAGCCCTGCCTCCTGGAGGTGATTCCCAGGATTTTCCTCCGTGTTCACACAGGCCCCCCCCACCCCCCTTCTCCGTGGGAATTGGGTCGTGTTGTGCAGAAGCCCTGCAGCTGCCTCCCCAGGTAGACCGAGGCTGCGACCCCCCCACCCATGTCACCCATGAACACACGTGCTTCACATCCACACTACACGTCGTCCACAGCCCGGGGATAGCTGTCAACCCTATCTGTCCCCTACAACCAATGCTCGCCTACGCATCTGCCCGGTGTTCCCACAGAATGCTGGGTGCAGGTACCCACCATCCTCCCCGGGCCATGGCAGCCCCTTCCTGCCCTGGCTGCACCCCCCACCCTGGCCCCAGCCCCATTGACATGTCCCCTATCTCCCCGGATCTGCCGGCCTCGGGGCACAAGGGATGTGAGGACCCCTGGTTGGTTCTGCTGGAAACCCAGGCCTCAGCCTGTCCCACCAACTGCCGTCAGGTGCCGGTCCCCCACGCCCCGGAATACAGATCCTGCTGCGATCAATCGTACAAACCGTACAAACCGACTTCCTTACTCCTGGGAAACAGGGACAAGACTCAGCAGGGGCCGTGATTTGCGTCACAGGGCCAGGCACCCTGAGGGCACCTCACAAAGGATTGAGGGCGTCCTTTACAGGAAGTGTCCCTTGGAGGATGGAAACAAAGATGCTTCCTCCCCCACCCTCTCAAGGTTTCATAGGAAAGGGGAGCGGCACAGTGGCTGGCAGGTGACGTCCTTGCTCGTCCACCCAGTCAGGGCCGTGCAGACCTGAGGGGCAGGTGGTACTGTGAACCCCGGGCCCTGAGCTGCTGCTTATGCTCGATGCCCAGAACTGAAGAAACAATGAGGACAGATAAACCAGTGGAGTCTAATCACAGAACAGATCAAGTAGGACCAAGGTAACCTCTAGAAGATGTGGAACTGTCCGCGTCCACTTGGTGAGCGTTGTAATCAGAGAGAGCAGACTACACACAGCACACCTGGAAACACAGGCTTCTATGGTTTAAATAATTATGATTATGAATCTAGAGCTTGCAAACTGCTATTTTCAAATCATAAAAGATTATAATTCCTTTCTGACTTGAAAACACACATTACATTAAACCCCATTACAAGACCATGTGGGCCATGGATCCATCTGTGTGTCTGCTCCGTGTCCCTCACCCACACGTCTGCCGTCTGTCCGTTTGACCATGTGACTGCCCCTGGCCTTATGGAAGACAATGCCCAGGGGTCAGCAAGGGTAAGAAAGGTTTTGAGGAAAAGCCAGGCCTTAAATGAGGCCCCAGGGGGCATGTGGAAGGGATAAAGGGGGCACGGCCTGGAGTAGGACAGGTGCTGCTAGTGCAGCTAAGGAGCTGCAGCCGCTCAGTGAAGGAGGGTGGCAAGAGGTGATGTCAGTTGGGCAGGCACCCAATGCTCAGAGCAGGGGAGATGGACATTCTTCGGAAGACTGGGAGCTTTCCAAGGATTTGGGGAGTGACGCAGCCAAAGCACTGTATTCAGGTGTGTCAGGAGGTAAGTTGATGGGGGAAGGCATTGTGGTCAGGCGTCTGTGAGTGTGGTCTGTGCAGGACGGGGACGAGGTGGGGGGGTGGTGCATAGCCTTGGTAGGACAGCTGGCAATGAGGTGACGAAGGGAATCGCTGGAGGACGCCCACGGCAGCGACACACACTGTGGCCAAGGGGCTGCTGTGTCCGTGCCATTTATTCTCATACCTTCAGAATAAAGTGAATACATTGCTTTTTAAAATATTAGCCTGGCTCATGGAACTAAGGGCCCTCATGCATCCTGGGCTGTGGGAGTTTTCCTTAGAAAGGAGGGCGTCCGAGGGCCTTGAGGCAGGGGAAATGCTGCCCCACACCGCTGTGCTGACACAGGTGCCCCTCGAAGAAGACGCATGGTGGAGACATGCAGGAGGCCACGTAGGGTCGTGCCACTCCCCACCAAACTGATTCTAAATATGCTTCTCACCAATGTATGAAATCAAAAAGAAAGAAATCTATGCATAAAGACCTGCTTGACCAGACCGTGGCCAGAACACAAAGCCCCAGTCTGAGTCCAACCCCGGGAGCAGCCTGCCTCCCCATGCCTGGCCACTCGGCGGACGAGACTGCCTCCCCGGGCCACACTCACTACCACGGGACGCATGCGGTGGGCTCCCAGCCATCTGGAATGGTGCTTGGAGGACCTGCAGGAGGGCTCCTGGGGGTGGCCACAGAAAGGAGTCCCTCACTGCAGGAAGCTGCCAAGCGAGGGGGTGGAGCTCAGAAGGCACAGGGGTGACCGCCCCTGACTGCCCCATGAGAGGACCTGAGGGAGAACATAGCCTCCAGATGCCCAGGGGGCCTGGGGCACACACGGAAGCATCTCCTGAGAGACTGTAAAAAAATATATGTAAGAGCAAGTTGAAAGAACGCTTGATTTATAAAATGAACCAGAGAAGTGAAGCATTTGACTCTTAGTTCGTCTGAATAAAGTTCCTTCCCCTTTGGATGGGGCAAGGGTCCAGGTCCGGCTGGGCCCAGCTGACGCTTGCCATCCAGCCCCCCGCCCCCGCCCCCTGGCCCCCGCCCCAGCCCCCCAGCCCGGCGCTCCACCCAAAGCAGAGGGGCATCCCAGTATGGAGCTGGCCAGGCCTGCTGGGGAAAGGCACCTGTGCCATCTGTGGAATTAGCTGTCCTTCCTTAGGGCAGCCAGGCAATGGAGCTGCAGAGCGGGGGTGCAGTGACCTCTGGCATGCCGACCACAGAGGTACTAACCTTCACGGATGCTCTTAAGGAGAAGATAAGGGGCTCTTGGGGGCTCGAGACATTCATTAAAATCTTCCAGAAGGACAAGCTAGATCATGAAAAGGCACCGGGGGCCTTGGCCAGTCTGGCTATGGGTGGGCAGTGCAAACTTGATTGAGCCAAGACTACATAAGTCTGGGGCTTATTTTCTTGGAAATACATTTGAAAATATTTAATTCTGTGAGGGGGGAAAAAACCTAATTTAAAATAAAGTGACTCATTTTTTCAAGCAGGTTACTTTGGCTCCTTCTCTCTGCCTTAGCACAAGATACTCATTGCTATAGCAACCAGCATGGAATGAAAAATAACCCAGAAATTTCAGAGTTCTTCCTCAGAGAAAGTTTCTAGGTTTGTTTTGATGGGATCTTTCCGTTAAGATCATTCTGTTCTCAAATGGCAGACAGATCTGGTTTGGCGCCAACGTCAAATAAAGTGCATATTTCACAGCCACGTTGTCTGACCAGAAGGTTCCCTCCAGCTATCCAGCTGCCCCGTTGCCAAGAACGGCTACTTCTGTTCTGCAGGAGTCGGGAACGCCACCTGCACCGGGCCGCAGGTGCCCAGCCTGCAGCTCCCTCCTGCCCTGGGTTGTAAATCACAAGCCCCAGGCCTCGCATCAGGGCCGCATGTGTGTGCAGGAGGCGCTGCTGTACCCTGGGGCCTCCATTTGGCTCTTCACAGGCCAGGTGCCCA